TTGAGGATCCTACATTATATCGTCAGCTCGTTGGAAGTTTGATCTATTTGACTGTCACTCGGCCTGATATAGCTCATGTTGTTCATATTGTGAGTCAGTTTATGACTGCTCCGAGAACCTCTCATCACTCTGCTGTGTTGCACGTCCTTCGCTATGTGAAGGGCACTCTATTGCATGGATTACATTTCTCGGCCAGTTCTTCATTGTCCCTTAGCGGTTACTCTGATGCAGATTGGGCTGGAGATCCTACTGATCGTCGCTCCACTATTGGGTATTGCTTCTTTTTAGGTGATTCACTTGTCTCTTGGCGCAGTAAGAAGCAAACCTCAGTTTCCCGCTCGAGTGCCGAGTCTGAGTATCGTGCTCTTGCTGACTCCACCGCAGAGCTATTATGGTTGCATCGCCTACTTGCTGATCTTGGTGCGCCTCAGTCATCCTCCACTGATCTCCATTGTGATAGTCAGAGTGCTATAAAGATGTCTCATAACGATACGTTTCACGAGCGCACGAAACATATTGAGATCGATTGTCACTTCATTCGCCATCATGTTACACATGGGACTGTGCGCCTTGTTTCAGTCTCTTCTTCAGATCAGATAGCAGATGTCTTCACAAAGTCTCTCCTTCCGGGTCGCTTTTGCTTACTTCTTTGCAAACTCAAGTTGATATCTACTATACCACCTTGAGTTTGAGGGGGGGGGGGTGTTAGAATATATAGTATATATGGTTAGCATATATTAGTTGTATATATCTATTCTTGTATGGTTAGGTTTAGCCTCATTATGTTCCTATATATATGTGTACATGTCTTTTGAATAATACAGAATATATTTTTCCCAAATTCTAACATTGACCATATATGATAACGTTTCGCATATTCAGGAACCGCATATCCAAATCAAACGTCGCATACATAATAATTATGCGACAAATGTTTGCATAGTTTATGACTCACATATCAAGATCTATAACGCCGTATAATTAATGATTATGCGTAATATTTTAGCATAATTAAGAATCACATGGGGCGATGATTAGTAAGAGGATTAAACCAAACGACACTCAAAAATATATATATATAAAAAAAAAAAAGAGGATTAAATAATACCCACTCTCACCTAGACTGAACAAAACAAAAACAAACGCACAAAGACAAGCAAAACAAATCTCTAAAACAACAAAAAACAACAAACAAGAGAAACAAGCAACTAAAAAACGACCCTCTTCCACGGAACTACCGAGTCAAAACAAGTAAATAGACATCATTTTCTTTTTTTTTCCTGTTTGAGTTCAGTTGATGTTGTCGTTTGAGCCTACTGATTTTATTGATACTTTATTTGGATTTTTTTTCGTTTTTCTGAAAAATATAAAATAATTTTACCTTTCAATAGTTATATGAACTTTCTTTTACACATTGTCCTATAAAAAAGTTATTTTTCACCCCAATACTCACGAATCTACATACGATGGCATATCCAACTGAACCCCATAAATAACAATTATGCAAGAATTTGTCATATATATTAACGCAAATCTAAATTCACTACATAATTTTGTTATGCAATTTTATTTCGCATATATAATTATTGCTTATCCGAATTCATAGCCGCATATTTTACTATTATGCGACAAGTATTCCGGGCCGAAAAATTAAAAAAAGTCATATTTTTGATCATTTTATAAAAGCTGCGGGACTATTAATATTTTCTAGATTCTGTTGGGACAAAAAATGTCACCCCTATACATGTGGGACAAGTTTTGAATTTTTCCCACAAATGTTTGCATAGTTTATGACTCACATATCAAGATCTATAACGCCGTATAGATAATGATTATGCGGAACATTTTAGCATAATTAATGTTGGAATATCACTTGTGAGTGTCCCACACTGATTCTATAGGGAAAATGAGTCTAGTATATAAGCCTAGTGGGCTACTCCTCCCATCACCAATTGGTTTTGGGATGGAACCTCACTAAGGTCCATCTAGGCTCACCCTCTTATGGTGCGCCTTCATCTGGTGGGACCGCACTCTCTTCCCCCGTTTCTAATATGGTATCAGAGCGGGCCTGTCCTAGGACCTGCAATGATTATCTCTACCCGGCCTGCTCTGGGCTTGGGCTTATCTCTCTACCCGACCTGCTATGTGGGTTTGGGCTTACGAAGGACTCACAAGTGAGGGGGCGTGTTGGAATATCACTTGTGAGTGTCCCACATTGATTCTATAGGGAAAATGAGTCTAGTATATA